CAGCTATACGCCTCGCCCGCTTTACCCCCGCGATGAGATCCGCTGCTACGCAACGGATAAGAGTCTGAGTGAACACCAGAGCCAGTCTGGACGCTACGGAGTACAGAACAATTTCTTGTCCCTATCGGGAATAGAAAGGGAACGCGGTAGAGTAGTAGGTTGAGGCACTATACTACGCGGGTTCGATTCCCGATGAGGTAATTGGACTTTTTTCAATTCACTTAACGCTTCCAGCTGCACTATGGCCCTGAGGACGACACAGCCTCTAACAGAAATGAGTACTAGGAATATTCCTGGGGGTAAAGGGTGGTCGGGGCGTAAGGTAGACCTCACCGCCATCTGTGAGCCGATTGTCTACAAAATGTGGGAGCCTAGGCGTCTCACAACCCAATGGGCCTTCACGGCCTGTTACAGGGATAGTTTTACCTTACCGGGAATCGAAACACTGCCGTCCAGCCTGTCTCTATACCGACTGAGCTATCCCGGCACTTACTTTCCTGTATACTCCCAATATTAATATATTTTTTAATAAAATTCGTTCAGGGACCGCGGTTGTGGTACACGCGTACATATATACAGGGAAGCACACCCTGTAGTGTCTTCGTTTTATTCAGTTAGTTCAAAGGCAACATCAAAATCACATTACACACGGTAGATCGCATTCATCGGGTTTCCATGGCTACAAAAGACGCATCAGAGGAAACTGACTCCTGCTGGCAGGAGCCCAAAAAAGTTATCGCTGCTGGTGGAACACGCAGGCGCGCCCCCCCCCCCCTCCGCCGGAGAAGCGATGAAATCTTAGAAAAGTGTAACGATATGGAATTGACGTAAAGTTCTATTCACTGCGCACAAAATTTTCCAAGAAGTGAAATAAATCTTCCAGCTATACACCGAAGTAGCAACATGTACACACTTCCGTGAGTTTGCCAAGGCTGTGCAGTGCATACGCATGAAGGCAACACGTCTGCATTGGCAAGTGCAACAAAACTTCCTGAAATGCGGAGAGGGGAGAACAGAGCAGGAGAGGGGTTAAGGGGAAGACAGAGTTCTAGAGAATCAAGATTGGTTTGATTGACTGTTCAAACGACGCTGTCAGTATCGAGACTATTGTGTATACGTATATAGCCCAACTCATCCTCCTTGACTTGATCATTCTAATTATACTTGGAGAAGAGTACAAATTATGAAGCTCCTCATTATGCAGTTTTCTCCAACCTCCCGTCACTTCATCTCTCTTCAGTCCAAATATTCTCCTCAACACTCTGTTCTCAAACACCCTCAGTCTATGTTCCTCCCTTAATGTCAGAGACCAAGTTTCACACCCATACAGAACCACAGGCAAAATTATAGTTTTGTATATTCTAATTTTTATGTTTTTGGACAGCACATGAGAAGACAAAAGGTTCTGGACTGAACGGTAGCAAGCATTACTCGAGTTCAATCTCCTCTTAATTTCCTCCTGAATCAGGTTTCGATCTGTTATCGTTGTTCCCAAATATTTGAACTGTGCCACATTTTCGAAACATCTGTTTCGTATCTTTATGTCATGATTTTGCCCTGCATTTTGGTGACGAGACAGCAACATATAAACACATATAAGTATTTATTTATAATATAAATGTTTCCACGATGCTGTCTATTGGGTTTGAAAGAACTCTCGGTAGAGAAGCAACAAAATGAGGTTGTAAATGCGAACGAGAAGAGTGAGAACCAGCGTGTGTGCGTGTGTAAAGGTCGCACAGAAATGGGGGAGAACTTCCTACGCCTGCAGTGAATCACAAATCAGATCAACATTTTCATACATGAAAGGTCATAAGTTTGAAGTAAGTTGATAATATCGATAACACTTCTCAAAGGTCAGCATCTGTATATATATCCAGGGTGCGTCATGACTAGAGGGCATAACTGCAGGAGGTGATTTCCTAAGTCTTTGTGATCAAAAAAGTTCATATAAACATGTGTCCGATTTTGGACGGTTACGGAGTTATGACCGTTTTTTTCATTCCCGTACACGCCCTCGTGTGAAACGCGTCTGTCAGCTGGCGGGTCGCTATTTTTAGCCAGCTACAGACAAAGCGTTCTCGTTATCTCGACACTTGAGAGGTATCTAAGGCGGGGTGGGTTGGTATGTCTGGCTCGGTTCAAAACCGAGCTGCAGCCTGTGCTGCGGCCGGGGGTGGCATTTTCGAAAATCAGCTTTAAGCACCAATCAATTCAAATTAAAGGTAATATCACGAAGCTAACTTTACATTCATACTTTAAATGTATCATGTATTATGCTGGTTTATTATTTTGTTCCGTTTATTGTCAGTAATCGTTACCTTCTGTTCTGAGTGTAAAACGGTCATAACTCCGTAACCGTCCAAAATCGGACATATGTTTATATGAACGTTTTTGACCACAAAGACCTAGGAAATCACCTCCTGCAGTTATGCCCTAAAGTCGTGAAACACTCTGTATACGTGGCGGAGTCATTAAGTTCGTGGAATGTGGTTTTATCGCGTCATATTACAAGGTATTCAAATACACTTACACAGATCCATATCGGCCCTCAAAATAGTTGCTGTTGGCCGCTATGCAAGTCTGCCAACGTTGATATAGCTGCCGAAAACATTGCTGAAACATATTGGCAGTAAATTCCCGTGCGACGATTTGCGGCCATTCCACGAACTTATTGACTGTGCTAGTATATGTATATATATATAATTGATTTGATTTGAACGCTGGGCGTCTCACATAAAGGTTTGGTTCGGGCAGTAACGCTCAAGGCTTATAACCGAGAGGTGCTCGTTTCGAGCCCCGCACAGCAATCATGATTGAGGACCTTCGTGGTTTTACTCAGTTAACCAGTCAAATACCGGGATCTATCTTCCTATCCTAGTTCCACGAATGTGCGTGCTTTTTCGCAGTTTCTACTGCATATTTTCCTGCTGTCTGCCTTCAACATAGCCTGGCCTCAGGCATTTAAATCCGATTTGCGTTGTTCGCGGTATAGGACAAGGCGAAGCCACACACAGAAACTGGGCGGTGGTCAAGCTTACGGCCGTTCCAGTGATTAAGCTGCCGTTGTAGCATAAGATACGTAAGATGGACATGATCTGCTCTGCAAAGCCTGTACTGGCAAAATTCTCGGTAACATGTTACGTGCGTTGCGTACACTTGACAAGGCCAAGCATATTCATACGAGACAAACCCACCTTCTCGTCAGAGAGGATGTTACATAAGGACTATTACCGCAAGGGCTCAGTTGGAAAAAAAACTCTGGTAGTGACTCTCAAGGGGTCTTCACGCCAAGACGAAATCTTTGACGGTAAACGGCCAGACGTAAAGTAACTGACTCTGATATGGGTTAACCAGTGACTGAGGTTAGCCATTTCTAAGGGACCCAACAGAGTAGGTGTCTCCCCCATCACCTGAGGACGGAAAGAGATCCAATTTAGGAAACGTTGTGTCTTCTTGTTTCAAGAATACCATACAATGGAGCAAGTCTGAAAACCCAGTAATTCTGAGTGTTACACACCACCGTTCTGACCATTAAGAATCTAGGGGTCTGACTCAGGAAACACGAAATTCAGCCCAGGGGCATGTGCACACGACAGCAGAAGAAACAACAGAACGATCTCCTGCCTATATTTAAATCGCCCACTGATTCATGCAAGTTCCGTGACTCAGTGTCGATCTTTCTTTCCTGAAGTCACATCTGGTGTTCAGCACTTCAGGCTGTAATACAAACGGGTGTAAACACCGCCAAGACTGAAGAGACAAGCAAACGTGAGTCAGGGAGTTAACAGGCCACTGGTTCCACACCCAGCCCCACCAGGTAAACACATTCTCCGAGAACTTCCCAACATCTGACTCAAAATCTTATTTCTCCTGCTTCATATTCGAAAGCACGAGGTTTCAAACCTCAACACACACGCGCCGGCTGTCGTCACTGTGACGTGTATCTTTGTTTTCCTCAACTCCTTTAGGAAAATACCGAGATAATACCCTTAACTGCAGGTCACGGTAGCCGAGCGGTCTAAGGCATGTCTTCGCTCGCTTGGAAATTGGGATCGTGGGTTCGAATCCCACTCAGGGCATGGATGTTTGTGTGCGTTTTTCTGTTTGTGTACAGGTAGAGGCCTTGCGACGAGCTGATCACCAGCCCAAGGAGTCCTACCGAATGTGTAAGATCTAGAAAAACCAAAGTGAACGGAGAAGTTCATGGAGGTAGGCCTAGGCCCACTGGGGCTGCAGTACGAAGGAAAAAAAATACCCCTAATTAGAAGAGTATATTAGCTTGTAGTACATCGACGTTTCGGAGGAACGCACTACCTTCATTTCAGAGTCGTACAGTTAGTCAAAAAAGTAGGCCGCGCCATAGCTCAAGCGGTTAGTCGCTGGTTTCCCATCGCGGCGGCCCGGGTTCGATCCCCGGTCTGGTCAAGTGGGATTTGTGGTGGACAAAGTGGCGATGGGGCAAGTTTTCTCCGAGTACTTCGGTTTCCCCTGCCAATCTTCATTCCAGCAGTTGCTCCACAATCACCCTCACCTATCATCTGGGGCTGGTAAAATAGGTCAGAAGTGGCCGCAGTACAAGGGACTTGTTCCCACCCCACTAGCAATAAAAAAGTAAGATAAACAACCAGTAAGAGAGACAATTATCAAACAGAAGTCTCAAATAAATATGAATTTATACCAGATTACACGGAATCAGATTCTAGAACATCGTACTCTTCAAATTCAAAGATTTTTTCCCACTCTTTCGACCTTAATTTCCAACTTGTCACGGACGAATATATTTACTGAGTCCTAAATTGAACTGAAAGGTGAAAGGCTAAGTCTTTTTAAATTTGAATGAATCTCGCATGTAAAATCAGATTACAAAGTGAAAGAACATACAATCTACACGTACTTGCTATAAAGGCAAGATAAGTAAGAATGCGCGGTCATAGTTGCGTGCGACGCCCTGCGTCCCCTCCACGACGCTACTACCGACGCCGCAGCTCTCAGTTCAGTCTATAAACTCAGAGAACGAGCCTCGAAGCCATCACATTTGGCCGAATAAGCGACATCTACAGTGAGCGGGCACTACAGGCGCGCGGGAACTGCGTACATCCCCACGCGATCCTACGTCTGCCGTCAGAAGGAGAGATAGTTTGCACACTTCGGCAGAGACTCGAGTTTGCGTGAACCAAGTAGAAACATCGTCAAGACACGGAAGTGCGGCAACACAGCGGGGGGCACGTCGCGTTTACATCACAGACAAACGGGTAAGTTCAGAAAGCTCTTTCTTAAAATTTACAGTGTACTTTGCCTCTCTTCATCAAGACCCCTTTCTGATATTATTCAATATTCACTCTCTCTTCCTAACTGAACCAGCAGTAGCAGGACCCGAAGGTTCAACGCCACTTATACCAAAGCCCGCCACTGGACAGGATCCTGAGCCAGTTACATCCACCTCCCATCCTCACAGCCCATTTCCCTAAGATCCTTCTTACTAATTAATGAACTCTGGTAGCAGAACCCGAAGGTTCAACACCGCTAATACCAAAGCCCGCCACTGGACAGGATCCTGAGCCAGTTCCATCCACCTCCCAACCTCACAGCCCATTTCCATGAGATCCATCTTTTTTTTTTATTGCTAGGGCCATGTTAGGTTGGCTCCTTGTCACCACGGCATGGCGCGTCCTCAGGTTGCGGATGGAGGAGACGCCCTCCGGGTATGGAGGGAAGCTGCGAATATATTGAAAAACAGTCGCGGACAGCCGACAGGGGGTGGCCCTCCAGCTTTGGGGTTGGGTGTGGGGCTAACAACTCCTCACCGTAGAAAATCTTTATTTTACACAAATGAACACAAAATCTCGGACCTGGACGGATTCCTTGGATAAACGACCTAAGCTAATGAAAATGGATATGAGATTTGGCACTTGGAAGGTACGAAGTTTGTATAGGGCAGGTTCGCTCAGGGCAGTGGCAGAAGAAATCTTAAAATATAAATTAGATTTAGCGGGAGTACAGGAGCTCAGATGGGATGGAGCTGGCATCGCACCAGCAGGATACTATACATTTATCTCTGGAAAGGGGAATGAAAATCGTGAATTAGGTACAGGTTTTTTCGTACATAAGAGAATCATATCAGCAGTTAAGAGGGTAGAGTTCGTTAGTGATAGGATATCATATATAATACTAAAAGGTCGCCGATGTGATATCATTGTTATGAGTGTTCACGCCCCAACAGAAGATAAAATTGATGACATAAAGGATAGATTCTGTGAAGAACTAGAACATGTATTCGATAAATTCCTGAAGTACCCTATGAAAATTTTGTTAGGAGATTTCAATGCCAAAGTAGGGAGGGAAGACATTTTCAAACCAACAATTGGGAATGAGAGTTTCCATGAAATTAGTAATGACAATGGAGTTAGAGTAGTAAACTTTGCCACATC